CAGCCATCCCCCAGCCTGGCATGACAAACTGTGGCCCAAGGCAGCCACAGTGTCCCTCAGAGCCTGCTGCCATCCCCTGTGCTGTGTGACAGCCACAGTCCCTGCAGACACTCACTGCGGGCACGTCGCCCTCACAGCAGTTCCAGAGCATCAATGCTCCCCTGCTGCTGGGATAATTCACCCTGGAAACATTTCAAAGAAAATAATTTGACCTGAAACCTTTTTATTTGCAGAAACAACCCCAGAGCTTGCTGTAACCAAACAATAATTGGCTTTTCTGCCCACAAACGAGTGGCTGAGGGCGGTGGCAGCATTCAGGGCTCTGCGAGAGGGATCTGAGAGAGGGATCCCAGAGAGGGATCTCAGAGAGGGGTCCCAGAGAGGAATCCCAGAGAGGGACCTCAGGGAGGGATCCCAGAGAAGGACCTCAGGGAGGGACCTCAGGAGCTCCCAGTGCCTCTGGCCCTGCACTGGGCACACCAAGGCATGGTGTGTGTCCTGGCACTGCCAGCACGTGGCCACTGACGTCACCCCCGTGTCCACGACCCCACTGGGCTCCCAGAGGCTGACTCAAAAATTAAAAATAAATGGGCTGCTCATGGCACTTTCAGTATTCCCCAGACACCTCAAAAAAAGCCTCCTGCTGTACATTACCTAATTCAGACACGACAGAAGGAGCAAATTCCTTTTTCCTGGGCTGTGGTACACATCCCTCTGCAATGGCATCTCTGTGTGTGTGCAGCAGCGTGCGGACACCTACATCTCTATCTGACTCCGTGTCTGTATTTGCCTTCAGCACCTTCCACAGGAAAGTGATAAGCAAAGTAGTTCTGTCAGGAAATTGGCTCCTGAGAGGGGAATAGCCGGCGGGTTCACAGCAGGTAACGTTGTAAAACAGGTATGAAAAGTGAACAGAAAACAGACATTTCGGCTGGCAGAGAAAGAACAGAAATAGAAATATTTTCCACAGGTTTGCAAAACTACTTGGGGTTTTGCTCCCCCGGAATTGTGAGTGAATATTGTCTCCCATTTTCAGTGGACTTTTAGTGGATGTTTTCCTCAGCCTGGGAACCTCAGCCTGAGACCCTCAGCCTGAGACCCCCATCCTGGGACCCCCAGCCCGGGACCCCCAGCCCGGGAACCTCAGCCTGGGACCCTCAGCTCAGGACCCCCAGCCCGGGACCCCCAGCCCGGGACCCCCATCCTGGGACCCCCATCCTGCCCCCCGCTGCATTTCTGACAGTGGCTCTGGCGGGTCCCTGTCCCCACACTCCAGCTGTTGAGGGCAGCGCTGGCTCTGGGACAGACAGACAGACAGACAGACAGACAGACAGACAGCCCCCCAGCTGGGCACACAGCCCGGGTCTGTGCCGCTGCAGGACCCCCCTGTCCCCCCAGCCCGTCCCCGTGCTCGGGGCTCCGGGCGCAGCCGCCCTGCAGGAGCAGCGCTCTCCTAACCTACTTCCCGGGAAAAGCAACTGGAAACTCTCAGAAGATGAAAAGATAATGAACAAATAACCTTCACTGCCACAAGCCCAGCTCCCCTTTGTGCTGCTGCCTGGTATTAATGATCCTGTCAGGGCTCCCGAGGAACTTCGTGCACCAAGTGGGAACTGGGGTTTGTCCCAGAGCACAGCCAGGAGCTCGCTTTCGTTTCTCCCCAATCTTAGGCGAGAAAGTTCTCACATTCTGCGTCTAAGAAACCACATATTTGTTTTCTCACATCTCCACGTTCCTGTCGTTCTGCTGGGGTTTGAAACAAAACACCACTGTCTTTTCAGGAAAATGCTTGATGCATCGAGCAGCGGCAAATCATTAATTATTTCGAGCCTTTTATGCCACCACTGACACCACAGTGAAGAATTTAAAACATTTCCTCAGACAAGCAACTCACTGACAGCAAACCACAGCATTGCTGGGTGTTTCAGAGCTCTTTTCATCCCGAGGGCGCCGCGAGAAGCCTGGGGTGAAACTCCAGTCAAACCCACAGCTAGAGCAGCCCCTCGCCACGGAGACGAGCAACACGCCTCCAGGAAGGGCTGCCCCTCTCTGTGAGCCCCCTCTGTCCCCTCTGACACCGTCACCAGGGTCCCCACGCCCACAGGTGGCAGCCAGCACATGCCAAGGGAGGGGACAGGGATGGTGCTGCTGCCTTCTCACACCTGAGGGACCCCACGCAGAAACCACCACCTTCATTGCCTGAGGAGGTGCCTCCGTGGCACTGTCAAACATCAGCTTTGCCCAGCCAAGAGCCCAACATAACATCTTCCTGCTCAGGGAGCTGCTGTCAGTCCCCGAGTGCTGGCAGGGCTGAAGGCCCAGCCCGGCTCGCTGGCAGACACAAACCCACCCAGGCAGGAGTGGGTGAAGAAGAACAACAGCTTCCCCAGACCAGCAAACACTGGAATTCACAAAAAAACCTCACAACAAAAGGGTCACGGAGTGCCAGTCCTGCTGCCCTGACTCGCTGCACCCCACTCCCTGTGCCCATGGCACCTCTGTGCCCCCAACAGCATCTGGGGCACCCCAGGGATGAGTTCTCCAGGCTCCTCTGCCTGCCTGGATGGGCCGTTCAGGAGTGAAAATTTGGGGGGAAAAATAGAGGAAGGATTCATCCCAGCTCAGACAATGAACTGCTCATTCTACACAGGAATATGAACAAAGCAAACCTTGGAAAATCAAATAAAAAAAGGCTTTATTTAGAAGCAGAATGCTCAGGTATTATCAGGCAGCAGCAAACCCCTACTCACACACCTTCATCAAGCACAGCCAGAGGTTAATTTCATGACAGATTTAACAGATCTGAAATGTAAATAAACCTTCTTACAAGCCAGCCCTGCCTCCAGTGCTGCTCCCTCCTGCCCAGCACGAAGCCAGCTGCCCCGTCAGACAGGCCACGCTCCAGGGAGGGCACGGAGCCCGTCCTGGTCCTGTCCTGCTGCCAGCGAGGGCACACGGGCACAGCGGCCAAGCCGGGCACGGGCACCAACTCCAGCCCGGCCCCGCTGCCAGCCCGGAGCCCGTGGCCAGAGCCCGGCACTGTGTGTCAGAGCCCGGCACTGCGTGTCAGAGCCCGGCCAGGTCCCCGGACCTGGCAGGAACAGGGACAGCGGTGACATCCAGCAGGAGCAGCACAGCCTGCCCGAGGAGACACCCGGATCTCACAGGATGGGAAATCTCTGCGCTCGTGAGGGAATGACCTTCAAAACTCATTCAGCGCTCGCAGCCTGCGCGGTGACGCTTTCCTCACTTGCGAGACATTACACATTCCTGCTATGCTCTCCCTAATTTCGCATGGACTATAAATACTTGGCTTCTGAGGCAGCATGAAAGCCAGCGAGAGCAAACATTTAAGTGGGGTAACCTTGCTTCTCAGGGTAGCAGGAGCAAATTCTCCATCCCTCGGGTCGCGCATGCTAAATACCAGGAGTCCCTGTTTACTATGCTACACATAAAATATCAACCGGAATATGGGCCCGAGTAATATTTTCTCTTAAAAAAAAAAAACAAAACTGACATGCAAAATGACGACACCTTGTCAAATTGTCTTAAGGGCAGAAAATCCAGATTTTTCTGAACTGCTCTGCCCACACTTTCTCTCCCAAACTACAGTTCCCCATTTAATTAGTATTAAAAACAACCTCTGAGAGACGAATTAGTTTGGCTTATGCAAAATAAACTGGGCTGCTGTTCGAGCCGTTTACTGGGTCACACTTTACAACCCCGGTGGGGGAGGTGAGCGGGGACCGGCAGCACTACCACCATTCTTCAGTGGTATTCGCACAAATCACCCTATTTACCGATTTTAGGCTGTTTCAGCCAAAATGACGGTGCCTGCCGTAGCCTGCAGCACCCTTGGTAACCGTCCTTTGGCACGATCAGCAGAAGCAGGTTGGTGCCTGGGAATGGAAGGATGTTCACCCCTCCTTGGCACCGCAGGCCGGGAGAAGGGGGGCCCGAGGCTGGGCGGGGAGAGCTGTTGCTATTGACGTGTTGAGTCACCTTTACTCAAAACTCTGCCCCGAATTTTCCATCGCCCACGGGCTGGGCCGGGGCCAGCCGCCTCCAGCAGCAATCCCCGCGCGTGCGGCTCCGCGCAGCTTTTCCTCAGCTCCTCGCAGGGATGATGCTGACGGCGGAACGAGGCGCAGGAGCAGCCGGAGCCAGCGGCGCTTCTCTCAGCCCCCGGTCACACGCTCCCGGTCCCGGTCCCGCTCCAGCGGGGCCCGGGAGCGCGTTTCCCCAGTTTTCAGCAATACGACACATCAGCGCGCTGAGCGGGTCCCTCGCAGCCCCGGCAGCGCAGGGACAGCGGCGGAGGGGCGCCGGCCCCGACCACGGCTCCCGGTGCCGGTGCCGGTGCCGGTCCTGCCGGCACGGGGGCGCGGGGGGCGGCGATGCGCGCCCGTCCCCGCCGCTCCGGACGATTACAAAACCCGAGCGCCCACCGCGGCCACCGGGCGCTAACGGGGGAGGCAGAGCGGGCACACGGCCGCGGCGGGGCCGCTCGGTCTGTCCGTGCCGGCACACCCCGCGCATCCCGCCCCGCAGCATCGCTGCCCGCGGTCCCCGCACCGCCGCATCCCCCGCGCTCCCTTCGCACCCACGTCCTCCCCGCGCTGCGGGGGCGAGCCCCGAGCGGCTCCCGGGGCACGGCCGCGGCTCTCCCGGCCCCGGGGCGGCCGTGCCGGGCTGCCCGTGCCCCGCTCCGGCCCCGGCTGGCTCCCGGCGCTGCGGGCATCACCGCACCGGGGGCAGGCGGGCGGCTCTCCGCGCCATCCCCGCGCCCCTCCGCGGCTGCGGGGTCGCGGGCGGCGGGGCTCAGCCCCGGGGCTCTCCCGCCGCCCGCAGCCGCGGCTCCGGTGGCCGCCCGGGAGGCGGGGGAGGCGGGAGCGGCGGGAGCGCCTTTGTTGGCGGCGCGGGGCAGCACCGGGCCGCCCCCGCCGCTCGCTCCCTTTGTCTGCCGGGCCGGGCCGCGGTGCCGGTGCCGCGGAGCTGACCTGGATGGTGCAGGTGTACTCGCTGTCGTCCAGCAGCCGCACGGTGCAGTTGTACTCGCGGTCCAGGTTCCTGCTGCTGCCACTCATCCACCTGCTCAGCATCTTCCCGGGGCGCGGGGCGGCGGGCGCTGCCGGGGCCGGGGCTCACATCGCGCTGCGGGGCGGTGCGGGGCGGTGCGGGGCGGTGCGGGGCGGTGCGGGGCGGTGCGGGGCGGGCCGGGGCGGGCCGGGGCGGGGCTGTGGCCGCGCCCCCCGCCCGGCTCGGCCCGGCCCTGCCCCCGCTGCGGGAGGAGGCCGTGCCCGGGGGTCGCCCGGCGCCCCGCGGGGCCGATCTCGGCGCGGCGACGGTGACGGCTCCGCCGCAAACCAATGCGGCACCGGCCCCGCCGCCTCCGCCGAGCCCCGCGCGGGAGGGGAACGGCGGCGAGCGGGGGGCGGCACCGCGGGCACCGGGCAGCCCACCGGGGCTCCCCGCAGCGGGGGCAGCGGGGCAGGGCAGGGCAGTGCCCCCGGCTCGGGCACCGCGGCGGCACCGAGCGTGTCCGGGGATGCCGAGCGGGGTCGGACGCGTGGCAGCGGGTACCCGCAACCCAGAGCCCCGATCAGAGGGGTGGGGGCTGCCCCAGGGATCCGCGACCCCAAGGACGGCAGGTAACTGGGCATGACCCCAAGCACGGCAGGTAACTGGGCATGACCCTGCCGCCCACGGGCCCTGCCGAAGCACCAGCCTGTGCCCGGCTCTCTTGTTGGAGCCCAGTTCCATTTCTCGGCTGGGATCCCCACGGAGGGTTGGCAGCTGCCGTGCTGCTTCCAGCAGAGCCAGCCAAAATGCCAACGTGGCCCCCGGGATGTGAGCTGGTCCCTTGGTGCTCATTTGTCATGGAAGGAAACCTTTAAATCTCTGGCTTTTGGACAAAATGGACTCCAAGAGCCATCAGTGCTGATGGGATGTAGCTAGTGCTGCTCTGGGGCAGTGAAATACCCGGTGGTACCATCAGCATCACCCAGGGAGGATGGGGATCCTGCAGCCCTGGCCATTCCCTGCCTGGGTGTCACACTCCCCACGGCCCCACCGAGAGGTTCAGCCGTGCTTCCCACACCCCCCTGGCTCCACACGCACCCACAAATACCCAGCAGGGCACAGTGGGGACCCATGAGGCTGTCCCCAGTCTGTCTCTGCAGCACGGGCCCTGCTCCCTCTGCACCTTCCTGGCTCGGCTCCCCTTGCCTGGAGCCCCACCTTTGTCCCCTCGGCATTCCCAGGCTGGGGTGCAGCTCCCACCCTCCCCCAGGAGCACCAGCCTCTCTCTCTCATGGAGCACGGCTCCAGCCTCTCCCCACACGCCCTCTGCTCCAGCTTTGCCCATTCCCTGCCTTCCCAGCCAGAAAGGAGCTTTCCAGAGCCACACAGCTCCCTGCTCCCTGCAGCCCCTCCGGATCACTCTGTGATGGGCGCTGTCTCCCTGCCTGCCTGTCCCTGTAGGGAGGACAGCTGCCCTCAGGCCCGTGGCTCTCCAGGCTCTTCCATCCCCGACCCTCAGTGCATGGGGCTGGGCTCCCCCGACCCTCCAGTGTGTGGGGCTGGGCTCCCCCGACCCTCCAGTGTGTGGGGCTGGGCTCCCTCGGGATCCTGTGGTTTCAGGGTTACCTCAGGACAGCTGAGGGGAGATGGGTCTCTCCCAGCCACCGCCCCATCCCCAGCCAGGCTGGCTGTGCCAGGGCTGCCTGCCAGGCTGGGCACCCTCTGTGACCCCTGTGCCCACGGAGGCACCGCTGAGGCTTGGATCGGTTATCTCAGTGCCCTGCAGGCCCTAAATCCAAACACCCAGTCAGGGCCAAGGGCAGAGTGGGAACAAACATCACAGGCAGCGGTGCTGCAGCTGTGGGAGCCCCGGGAAGGACATTATCCTGCAGCAGGCAGGGCAGCAGGGCCAGGACCCGGCCCGGGTCCCGAGGATGGTCCTGCAGCTCTGGGAGCGCGGCTGTGCCCGGCACACACTCAGGAGCCCAAAAACAACGGCGCTTTTCACAGCACAGCCGCTCCTCAACCAGCTGGGCACTCGACAAAGATGCTCGTATTCACCACAGGAGCTGCTGCTTTGTCACGGATCCCACTCTGCATGAATGGCTCATCTGCCTCCCAGCTCCCCTCTGCTGGGGATGGAGCCTGGGCCCAGGCAGGTGCTGCTTTCAGCGAGCAGCAGGGCTGAGCCAGCTGAGCTTTCCTGGGCACACACTGATGGCAGCCTGGCCGTGTGAGCCCCGCCGAGCCCCGGCCCCGCTGCAGCCGGGATGGTTTTTGTGGAGGTTCCCCATTTCTGCACATTCCTCCTGAGCCCCTGGGCTGAGCTCACCCCCTCCAATTCCTCTGGCTTGTCAGAGGAGCAGGGAACAGCCCCGGAGCCCGACAGCCCCGACAGCCCTGACAGCTCCAACAGCTCCGTTCCACTCCCAGAACACCGACAGGCTTTCCGCAGAGCGTATCAAAGGCTGGCAGATGCCTTTACAAAAGTACTCTCTGTTTGCAGCTTTGATCGACGAGAATGTGCTTTTCATGAGCAACGTCTTTTTCTTTCCTTTTTAATAATTTATACTGTAAATCCTACAAATTCTCCCGATTTGGATTCTCTGTTACTTGCAGTTTTGAGCTAAAAAATTCAAAATGCAGCTTTCCAAATGTAAAGTGAATTCTTCTCTGTGTTTGTTTTCCAGCAGGTTAAATTTCACTAAGAGGGTGGCACAGGCTGCCCAGAGAAGTTCTGGCTGCTGGATCCCTTGACATGTTCCAGCTCTTGGACAGGGCTTGGAACAACCTGGGATAGTGGAAGATGCCCCTGCCCATGGCAGGAGGTGGGATGAGAAGAGATTTAAGGTCCCTTCCAACCCAAACCCTTCCAGGATTCTGTGATTCTGTGCTTTCAATAGGAAATATCACTATTATCCATTCTGTACACAATCCATGCATTTCTCATCCATTACAACATGCCACCCACAGGCAGCTGGAGCTCTGAGAGCAGAGCAGCTGTTTGAGGTGTGGAGAACAAAGGTGGGTGCTGCCCAGGTGAGGCTGGAGCAGGGCCTGGGGATGCCAGGGACCCACTGGAGACACCAGCCAGCAGCCACAGGGGCACAGGATGGCTGCTCATCTTTAACTGAGGCAAATGTTGCAAGCAGTAGCCAGCTCCTGCACTGAAATGACCACAGCACAGCCCTCTGCTCCCTGTTTGAGGGCAGCCTGCTCTGTTCAGGCCCATTCAGCATCTCCCAGGGCCGGGAGCGGGGCTGTCAGCTCTGCTCTGCCTTTCCAGCTACCTGCAGCTGAAATTATATAAACCCACTGTTCCCAGCCTGAGTCTGGCACAGGCCAGCGCTGGCTGGGCGAGATGTCACAGAGGGGCTCAGCTCTCTCTCAGGGCTTGCCCGTAATTCAGTGGTCAACAGTGCTGTCAGCATTCCCTCAGCCTCCCAAAGCAGCTGGGCTCATCCCTGGGCAGCTCTCCAGGCTGCCTCACCCAGCACTCACCACCTCTCAGCTTCCTGGGCACCGAGAGTCAACAGGAACAAAGCCCAAATTCTCTCTTAGCCCTTCATTACTTTTTTTTTTTTTTTTTTTGGATGAAAAGGTTTGGAAAAGAAGAGTGAACCTCTTCTTGAGAGAGGCTCACCTGGTTACTGCAGCCAGCCCCTGAGCTCCTCCCCATCTCCCTGCCCTGGATCTGGCATCAATGTCTGTCACCTCTTTGTGCAATATTTTCCTACAATGATGAATAGTTGTAACACCATGGCAACAGCCGAGGCGCTCACCACTGGCCCCGGGCCAGTTTTAGCACTGCAGCTTCCAGACAGGACCTTTCCAGGGTCAGCAGCAGGAGTTCTGCCCTCAGTCTGTGTCTGGGGAGTGGGGGAGCCCTTCAGAGCTCTCCCCTCCTGCCAGATGGGGACAATGAGCTGCAGGTATTGAGGCTCAGACACTGCCCCTCAGACACAGAAAAGGGGGCAAGGAAAGGAGGAGACAGGGTGAGAGAGGGAGAGGGAGAGGGAGAGGGAGAGAGAAAAGAGAAAGAAGAGAAGAGAAGAGAAGAGAAGAGAAGAGAAGAGAAGAGAAGAGAAGAGAAGAGAAGAGAAGAGAAGAGAAGAGAAGAGAAGAGAAGAGAAGAGAAGAGAAGAGAAGAGAAGAGAAGAGAAGAGAAGAGAAGAGAAGAGAAGAGAAGAGAAGAGAAGAGAAGAGAAGAGAAGAGAAGAGAAGAGAAGAGAAGAGAAGAGAAGAGAAGAGAAGAGAAGAGAAGAGAAGAGAAGAGGGTGATGAGGATGGAAGTCAAGAGGGCCAGGAGTGAAAGGAGGGGCTGGAACCATCTCAGCAGCATCCCCACGTGTACCCACAGGGGAATAAGCTGGAGCATCCAGCTTCTCGACTTCCAGGCATGTAAAATTTTAACCATAATTTGCAATTCTAACCAGAGGATAAAATTTCAGGCTATTAAGAAGAGGTGGGAACCTGCAGGGCGAGGCACATTAATTACTGCTGACATCCAGGGACAGGCTCATTAGCCAGAGGCTCCTTCAGTTCCAGCACACGACTTCTGGCTTGAGGCAGACGTTCCAGGGAGGAAGGACAGAGCCTGTGCTGCTGGGCAGGCCAGGGGAGCTGACCCATGAACTCTGCACTGCCCTGGAGCTGCAGGCATGGGGCAGGATGATGGTCCCCAGGGATGGAGAAGGGGCTGTGCAGAGCCCAGCAAGGAGCAGGAGCAGAGCTCAGGGCTGGAGGGAAGGACACAGGGAATGGCTTCTGAGCCAGAGGGCAGGGCTGGGTGGGATACTGGGAGGGGATTGTTCCCTGGCAGGGTGAGACCCTGGCATGGGCAGCCCTGGCACGGGTGCCCATGCCAGGGGCTGCCCCTGGATCCCTGGAATGTCCCAGGCCAGGCTGGGCAGGGCTGGGAGCAGCCTGGGACAGAGGAAGGTGTCCCTGCCCGTGGGAGGGGTGGCACGAGATGAGCATTAAGGTCCCATCCAGTACAAACCATTCCAGGATTCTGTCATTCCATTATTGCACCAAATAACTCCAGACTAAGACTTGTAACTGTCTATTTTTACTCCGAAATACAGCAGAGACACGTAGGCCTGGCTGTGTTACTGCTCAGATCAGGAATTCTTTGCCCCAGCCCCTTTTCCTGCTGG